GGGCTGATGGCTTTAAACTGAAAGAGGAGAGGTTTAGATGAGTTATAAGGAAGAAACTCTTCATGGTGAGGGTGGTGAGACCCTGGAACAGGTTGTCCAGGGAGGGGGTTGATGCCTCATCCCTGCAAGTGTCCAAGGCCAGGTTGGATGGGGCTTTGAGCAACCTGCTCTAGTGGGAGGTGTCCCTGCCCACGGCAGGGGGGTCAGAACTAGATGATCTTTAAGGTCCCTTCCAACCCAAACCCTGCCATGGATCAAACCCAGCATTTCATTAATGATTTGATTAATGTTGTGTGCACAGGACACGAGCACCTCACGATCCAACCCCAGCATTCCCTGTCCATGTGCCCTTCTGTGGGGGAAGAGTTTGGGCTGGAGAAGCTTCAGGTGGCACCTCAGAGGTACCACAGCTCCCATAGAGATGCTCCAAGACACACGGAGCTGCTGATCCCCCCCAGCCACTGGAGGGTGGTCAGACCTCAACCACATACAGTCCAGGAATCCCCCTCCCCTCGGGGTGCCCTGACTGGTGGAGTCTCACCCCAGGGAACCCAGCTGGTGCCAAATGGTCCCTGTGCCCAGAGCAGCCCTATCCCCAGCACCCACCCTCCTCTCTCCTGCAGTTTGGGGCTCCTTGAGCCTTTCAGGAGGGGCTTGCCCAGCCTCTGGACAGCCTGTGGTCTGGGCAGGACCTGGGACCACCACCTCTGAGCACTGAGGTGGATTTTTGCAGTCCCAAAAGAGGAGGAGGTGAGGAGATGGATTTTTAGCAGCAGGTCCATCCAGGTTTCACAGCCCACCTTCAACACCATGAGGTGTCCAACCCCAGCAGTCAGCACAGGGGGGTTTGCACAGGGATGGAGAGAAGATAAAACTGAGCTCCAGAGAAGGTTTATTTTGAGCTTTCCAGGCTTAAATCAACACAGAATCAATGAAATGGCTCAGAGAGGGAGAACAGGATTCTAGGAGGACACACTGGTGCCTCTTTGGATGAAGACAGTGCTTCTTCACAATCCCTCCTCCCCCCCTCCCCAAATTTACCCACTTCTGAAGACCAGATGTGAAACTTGATGATTGATTGATGATCAAACCTGATGATTATAGATTGAGGTGGATGGCATGTGAAAGACAGGGCTGAGACAGAGGCCTGCAGGAAGGTCACTTGTTGAGCAAGGAGGGACATGGGGCACTTCTGTGCTTCAGAGCAGCTCTCCTGCATCAACACATGCTGGCCAGCAGCTTTCAAGGAGAAGTCTGTAAAGGTCTTTGCCTCCTGGGACCTCGTGAGGAAGAGGACAGCTCAGGGGATGCAAGCTTGGAGCCAGACCCTGCAGGCAGGAGCATGGTGTGAGCTCAGGGCTGTCTCCAAAGCTCTCCTACACCGTGCTGTGCTTGGGTGCAGGTTTGCATAAGCTGGTGACCCCTGCCAGGCACCCTGAGTTCACTTCTCTGGGGTCACCTCCTCGTCCTGGTCACTTCTGGGCTTTGGGCAAAAAAAAAGGCACAGGGACAGGCTTTGCTCTGCATCTGAATGCACAAAACCCACACAGGGATGATCTCAGAACTGCAGGGGAGTGTGGAGAAGCCCCTGGTGAGCCAGGGGATGGAGAGGCAAGGGCTCTGGGGTGGCTCTTCTGCTCTGGGGTGACTTGCTCAGGTGCTGAGCACACAGCTCCTGCAGGGCAAAGGAGACGGACGAGGGGCCACCCAGTTCCAACCCTACTGCTGGCTTCTTGGAGACCTTCTGGGGTGGCTTTTTGACCTTGCCTCATGTGCCCAGGTACCTCCTTAGCTCACACACTCCAGCACAGGAGAGCTTTAAGTATTCTGCACCCATTTCTCTTGGAAAAGTCACCTCTGCTCCCCCATCCCCAGCAGCTGAGAAATCCCTGCTCCTGAGTGCCCAGGAGGACTCAGCAATAACTTCCCCCCCGTGCTCATCAGGGCACTAGGAGTATTTCTAAGGCACCCAGAGGTCTTCTCCTGAAAGCTGGACAGCACCTAGGACTCAAACAAGGTGACAAACACGCCGGAGGCACACAAGACACAGCTCAGCAGAAAGCAAAGCAGGAAGGCCAAGGTGGCAGCCAGAGGAGCTCAGATGTCATAGAAATCCACGTGGGCACCAGACTGGAAGGTGTCCTCCTCCAGGAGCTTCACCAGCTTCTGGGCTGACACGTTGCAGTCTATCAGCTGGCCTCTCTCCTGCAGGCTTTGGAAGAACTGGCGCATCTCAGGGTCTCCAGTCTTCGTCCTGGCCAAGAGCTGCATGTCCGTGTCCAGAGGACCTGGGGGGAGAGGAACAGAGAGAAACCACGTGAAGAACCAAACCCTGGGGCTCGTTCTCCTTCTGTAGCTGGAAGAACTCCTCCTCCACAAGGCCAGGAGGAGGAGCAGAGCAGAGAGGGAGCTGCCCTCCCTGCCCCCCTCACCCGGGGCGTAGCTGAGCACACGGACGTGGGGCTCCTCCAGCGCCAGCACCTGGAACATCATGTCCCGGGCGGCCTTGGCGCTGCAGTAGAGAGCCCAGTTCTTGAAGGGCTTCAGGGCACAGAGGGAGGAGATGTTCACCACCGTCCTGTGGCAGCCAGGCTGCCTCCCAAAGGCTCGCAGGGCCCGGGTGGTGAGGCACAGAGCAGAGGTGATGTTGAAGGAGAAGTAGCTGTTGATCTCCTCCGGGTCGGTGAGGTCGAGGAAGGATTTGGAGATGTCTCCCAAGGAGCCTAGGATGGAAGGACAAATGACTTCAGGGGGATTAAAGATGGGGTCAAGAGCACAGTAGGTCCCTCTTGGTCCTGCATTTTAGAGTTGTTTTGGTTGAAAGGGACCTTGAAGATCATCCAGTCCAACCATTCCCCAGCCCCACCAGGTCCCCACTGCCCCGTGTCCCTCACCCCACATCTCCACAGCTTGGAAACCCCTCCAGGGGTGGGGACTCCACCACTGCCCTGGGCAGCCCTCCAGGGGAAGAAATTGTTCCTCCTGTCCAACCTCAACCTCCCCTGGTGCAATCTGAGGCTGTTCCCTCTCCTCCTGTTGCTACTTCCACATGCCACCCTCCCCCAGAGACACAAGGGAACAGCTCTGGTGGCCCAAGCCCCAGCAGAGCCTTGGGGCAGAGCGAGGAGCTCAGCACAGCCCTGCTCTGCTCATGGCTTTTAGGTCACTCACTGAACCAAGAGTGGTGAGACAGGACACAGCCCTGCCCTGCCAAAACAAACAGCTCTCAACCTCCAGCCTAAAGTGCAAGGTCTCCATGGGCTACCACCTGGTGTCCTGCACAGGCCTCTTCCTAAGTCAGTAAAAGACCCAACTCCTGTAGCACCTCTCAGCTGGTGGAACACATGGTCCTACTGACAGCAATAAGGGGTGAGAAAAGGCACCAAAACCAACAGATATTAGAGGTTGCAAGCGAGGCACCCACGAGGCAGGGCTGGAAGTTTTTCTGAAGGTTTGTACCCAGGGAGCAGTGGCAGGAGGGCAGCCAGCTGGTGCTACACCATGAGGAAGGGGTAGAACCTCATGAGCAGTGAAGGAACGTGGTCTTGGCACCAAAGCAGTGCAAAGCTGCTCCACATTTATTCAGTAAATAAATAAAGACAGGGTGAAATCTCTGCTGCTCCTTTGGCTATTTACTTGCCACCCAAAGCCAAAATTGACCAGAAAGTTATAGGATCACAGACTGGTTAGGGTGGGGAGGGACCTTTAGAGGTCACTGAATCCAATCCTGCAGTGAGCAGGTACATCCCCAGCTAGAGCAGGGTGCTCAGAGCCCCGGCCAACCTCCCCTGGGATGGTGCCAGGGATGGGGCAGTGACCACCTCTCTGGGCAGCCTGGGCCAGGGGCTCACCACTCTGTCAGCAAAGAAATTCTTACCAAGATCCATTTGAAACCTCCCCTGGGGCAAGTTCAGCCCGTTGCCTCTTGTACTATTGCTAGTTACTTCAGAGAATGAGCAGCCCCCAC